TGACCCCCCCCCCCTTTTTTTTTGCTTTTGTACAATACACTATGCTGTTGCGAATTTACCCCCCCCAATTTTCTTTTTAATTTCTGAAATCTGAAATGAGAAAAAATTGTCCCCCCCACAATTTCTATATTATCCCCCCTACCGGACAATTTTTTTTTACCTCCCTCCCCCTTTTTTAAAAAAAAAATTCTTTCCCTCAAGATATGGTCTTTATCTCAATTCAAATTTCCAATGGAGTTTGCAACCATAATTACCCATTCAAATACATCAAAAAAGTCTAAAAATAGAAAATGACATACATAATCATGGCTAAAATTAATATTCCATAATCAGCATTTTTAATAGTAACTTCTAAAAATAAATTGACAGCTAATCACCTCAAGACAATACAACATTTCTTTATACATGATTTAAAAGCAGTGTAAGGGAGGTAATCCAAACATAACATTGTACTTTTAAGTAATTGTCCATTAACCAGGAAACCCTTGTTTTCCCCCTTTTTGCCCCTTATTCCTGAATGGTTTGAGCCATAACCCCCCAAAGCCAATCCTAACCATCCCTTTGTGGTATGGAAACTTGTGGTCTAATTTCACAGAGATCCATACACCTTTCCACAATTTATTGTCTGGGCCCCTTTTTGGCTCCTAATTCCTAAGCTGTTTGGACCATAACCCCCAAAATCAATCCCAACCTTCCTTTTGTGGTTATAAACCTTGTGTTTAAATTTCATAGATTTCTATTTACATATACTACAGTTATTGTCTGGAAAACAAATGTCTTTGGACGACGAGGACCACGACGTGATACCAATATACAACTGCAAAAATTTTGAGGTCGTATAAAAATTTCTGAAAAAATTGGTAAATTTCAAGGACAATAACTCCTTAAGGGGTCAATTGACAATTTTGGTCATCTTGACTTATTTCTAGATGTTACTTTGCTGAACATTATTGCTGTTTAAACTTTATGTCTATCTATAATTATATTCAAGATAATAACCAAAAACTGCAAAATTTCCTTAAAATTACCAATTCAGGGGCAGCAACCCAACAACGGGTTGTCTGATTCGTCTGAAAATTTCAGTGCAGATAGATCTTAACCTGAAGAACATTTTTACCCCCACGTAAATTTTCTCTTAATGCTATAGTTTCAGAGATAAAAGCAAATAAAATGCTCCGCTGGAGCGCAGCTTGATACGACCGCAGATGTCGAACCCTGAACATTTGGGGCAAGTATAGACACAACATTCAAGCTTGATACAGCACTGAATTTGGATTGTAATTAAATATTTGACACAGCATAGGTTTCTGACACAGAATGAAAGTGGTCTAAGAACTTAAAAAATTTTAATTTACCTATTCAAACCATATCATTATTATTTGCTTTTATATATAAATCAGAAATAACCAATTTAAAATGGAAAATTTAAAAAAAAAAAAGGAAAAAAAAATCCCCCCCAAATTTTTTGAACCCCCGTATGATTCATCACCCCCAAACTCAATCCCAGCCTTCCCTTTGTGGTATGGTACCTTGCAGTACAATTTCAGAGAGATCCATACACTTGAACACAAGTAAGTGTCTGGAAACTAGAAAAATGCTTGTTTTTAGGCCCCTTTTTGGCCCCAAATTCCTAAAGGTTAAGGGCAATTACCCCCAAACTCAAACCCAGCTTTCCTTTTGTGATATGGAACCTTGTAGTACAATTTCATAAAGATCCATACACTTACACACAAGTTATTGTCCTGAAACTAGAAAAAATGCTTGTTTATTGCCCCTTTTTGGCCCCTAATTCCTAAAATTTTGAGGCAATTACCCCCAAAATCAATCCCAGCATTCCCTTTGTGGTATGGTACCTTGCTGTACAATTTCAGAGAGATCCATACACTTGAACACAAGTTATTGTCTGGAAACTAGAAAAATGCTTTTTTTGGCCCCTTTTTGGCCCCTTATTCCTAAACGTTTTGGGCAATTACCCCCAAACTCAATTCCAGCTTTCCCTTTGTGATATGGAACCTTGTAGTTCAATTTCAGAAAAATCCATATACTTACACACAAGTTATTTTCATGAAACTGGAAAAATGCTTGTTTTTTGCCCCTTTTTTGGCCTCTAATTCCTAAAATTTTGCGGCAATTACCCCCAAAATCAATCCCAGCATTCCCTTTGTGATATGGAACCTTGTGGTACAATGTCAGAGAGATCCATACACTAACACACAAGTTATGTCTGGAAGTTACAAAAATGCTTATTTTTTGCCCCTTTTTGGCCCCTAATTCCTTAGCTGTTGGTACCATAACCCCAAAATCAATCCCAACCTTTCTTTTGTGGTATTGAACCTTATGGTAAAATTTCATGGAGATCCATTCACTTAAACTAAAGTTAGAGTGCGAAAACCAATGTGTCTGTCGGCCATACTGGTTAGCAGGCGGGGTGGGGTCATCGGACTCTTTTTTTAACTAGATACCCTAATGATGATTGTGGCCAAGTTTGGTAAAATTTGTCTCAGTAGTTTCAGAGGAGAAGATTTTTGTAAAAGTTAACGACGACAAACGACGACGGACACCAATTGATGAAAATAGAAGGATGAGGTATGATTGCCAATGAGACCCGTCCACCAGAAACCAAATGACATATGTCATATACCCTGTAGGTGTTAACAACTATAGGTCATCGTACAGCCTTCAATGGAAAAATGTAAAACAATTCAAACGAGAACTCCATAATACTTACTTACTTAGTCCTTGCTATGTCTGATGGCACATAGGGCAAGGAAAACCTATTAAATTAGATGCATATTCATGACGAGAACACGTTGATGTGATATGAATATGAACCCTGCTTTTCGCTTAACCAAAGGGGGGGGGGGGGTATGTGATCAAGGGATATACAGGGCAGTTATTGAAATTTGAATTGGATGCTACAAAACATAAAGATGCTAGCATGGCAACAACAAATAGATGACAAGAGTATGCAACAACTGACAGACTGAATGGGACAAGACAATAATATATCTTAGATGCTTCAGCTTTTTGTTTTAATGATATTGAACCAAACTGGCTGCAAATAATAATTTCAATTTTTTGCTTTTATTAGTGTTTGAAACTCCAAGCATCAAAATTAAATTTTTGGTCCAAATCATATAACTAAAATGTCCCTTCAAAATGCGTAACATTTAATTTGCTTGTCAAGTTTTTGTAGCATTTGTGGACTGAAATCTCAGAACCCTATCATTTATTGTTTTGTACATAAATCAGGCCGTTAGTTTTAAGGTTTGAATTGTTTTACATTTGTCATTTCTGGGCCTTTTGTTATCTGACTATGCGGTAAAGGCTCTGGTGGAGAGTTGTCTCATTGGCAATCATACCATATATCTTCTTATTTTTATATTGACTTATACTCTGCCTATGTCTTTGTTTACAAACATGAAATTGGACATGTAATGTTTGAGTAAACCTCCCAAAAAATAAACTGCTTCGCTGAGCGCAGCTGGATACGCCCGCAGAGGTCCAACCCTGAACAGTTGGGGCAAAAATGGACACAATATTCAAGCTTAATACAGGTCTGAATTTGGATTGTAATTAGATATTTGACATATTATAGGTTTCTGAATAAATGTAGTCAAAGAACTTGAAATTGGTTATATGAATTGAATTTATATTCAATTAAAGATTTCTTGCTGTTGTGCAATACACTATGCTGTTGCGCAATACTTAGTAAATCTGTTGACTATAAACAAATAAAATTTATAAAATTCTAGAGGGAGCTTACATCAATAGATTCATTCACCAAAGTTTCATAAGAATTGCTGAAAGCATTTTTGAGTTATTGTCTGAAAACTGGAAAATGCCCCCTTTTTTAATGAATAAAATCCCATAACTCAGGAATGTAAAATATAAAATTTATAAAATTATAAAGGGAGCTTACATCAATAGATATCAACAATTCATCAAAGTTTCATGAGAACTGCTGAAAGCATTTTTGAGTTATTGTCCGAAAACTGGAAAATCCCCCTTTTTTTTATTGATAAAACCCCGTAACTTGGAAACGTAAAATCTAAAATTTATAAATATCAAAAGGGAGCTCATGTCAATAGATATTAACAATTAACCAAAATTTCTTGCAAGTTGGTGAAAGCATTCTTGAGTTATTGTCCGAAAACTGGAAAATCCCCCTTTTTTTATTGAATAAAACCCCATAACTCAGAAACGTAAAATCTAAAATTTATAAAAAACGAAAGGGAGCTCACGTCAATAGATATAAACAATTCACCGAAGGTTTATGCAAATTGGTTAAAGCGTTTTTGAGTTAATGTCCGACATGTTGACGACGGGCGGACGGACAGACGGACAGAGGTATACAAAATACATGTTTTTGAGTTAATGTCCGACATGTTGACGACGGACAGACGGACAGAGGTATACCATAATACGTCCCGTAAACAGGCATATAAAAACTGATAATAAAACTAATCAAACTATTTTTGAACATGCTAATGTAAAATGTAGCTTATCTATGAATGTTTACACTGTTTACCTGATACACATTTCCTTAATAACTTTCTATTAGCCAAACATATTAAGTAAATTGAAAAATTGGCATTTAATTCAAACATGCAGCTCTGTCAATTTCAGTTCAAGATTGGTGTATATATAGATAATAGATGGCTGGACAAAAATTTCTGTACCTGTACTTAACAGGTGAAATATGACTCATACATGTCATAGGAATTAAATGTACATCTGGATATAAAAATTTTATTAGCTTCACTATAAACAATAATTGATAGATACAGGCCCTAGTGTTAACTTTAAAAAAAGTATGCAGACATATATACATTTGTTTGTCTTGTGGGGAGATTATTTTGTGGTGATTTTTTAAGAAGAAAATTCAAATCTTGCACTTGACATCCAACAGACATTTTAATTGTTTTTGAGTAAAAATGTTTTATGCTTTTTTTACAAAAACAAAATCCAATTCATGAAATGAATATTTAAATCCCTCTACAAAAGTACAATAATTATCAATTGATACCACAATTATAGGTATATTTGTATGCACAGGTATGACCGATTTTAAATGTAATCACTGTTAACCTGGATCAAGTTTAGACAAGTTCATATTAACTTCCTGGTTGATGGGCATCTAAAGAAAAATGTAGAAATGTTATTTACAAAAAGCAGATGAAATTTTTCTCAAGAAAAAAGGTATGGAGGGAAAATACACTATTTTCTTTTGAAACAGCACAAGAATTTGAATTTGAAAATAATAGTATAAAAATTAAAATCTTAATTTAACAAGGAGGTGAAAAAGGAACAAGGTCATTTTACAAGGAAAAGGGAATACATGGTTCACCTGTAGTAAAAGGACAACCATGTAATTAATCTGAGGGGGTACTGGCAAATGTGATGCGGTTAGAAAATTTATTTCCACCGTAAGATGACAGATTATTTATATTCATTCAGACCAGGGCCAGAATATTTATTTTTTGCTCGTCCCAAAAGTGACAGTAGAGGTGAAAGAGGGAGAAATTGTGATGATTTTCTGCAATGTGGCTGATTTGCTCTTCCTGTCAGGATATTCGTCTCAAAGAGATATTTCAAAACTTTTTTTATGAAAACCCTTGAGTGGTTCCTACCTACATGACCTACATCTGGAGAGTTCACACACGATTTTAATATCTAATATCATACATTCCATCTCTTATGTCCCATACTACTGATATGAAAATACAAGCAACAATGATTTGTCTACATTTGTCTGCATTCTATGAATATCTAAACAAGTTTCTTGTAATTTGAACGTTCAGCAAATTATTGAAATGATGCAGGCATATATATCAAGCTAAGTCCTCTGTGCATGTTTTTTACATTTATTACTAATCTATAACATATTATCGACAAATAACATTTCATTCAGTTGATCACAAGTTAATTAACTTTTGAATTTGTTGCCAAAGTTTACTGGATCATGACATTGATAAACAATCAACACAGAGTCATCGAGCACGTGAAAAATATGTGAATTGATAGAGCGATGTTAACTTTTTCTTTACAATTCTATTGCGTTCTAATTTGTTAATTAAATTTTTCCATAACAATTGTTAAATGATTTACTGTATTTAATTTTATCTTTAAGAATGAACTTTTACCTTCCAGTGCACATTTGTTAACGTTCTTTCATCACAGTTTTTCTCTCGCACTTGCGCTGTGCAATAGATAAAGTTCTAACCAGAGTTCTCATAGTTAAGGTCACTGCATACGGAAAAATATCGTCGAATGAGAGTTTGGGAAGACAATAATTCAAATAATACATTTCTGAAGAATTTGATAAGATAAAGGATTTTCTTTTAAAAGAAAGTCCATGAACACTTTTTTATTGTAAAATTTAGCCATTCAAGCATATAAAACATTTTCAATTTTTTTTTAATTTGAAGTTTCATATGACTTTAAAGAAAAAAATCATTTTCCCAGAATAATATCAAAATAAAATATCTTTTATGTATTTTGTAGCGGCAATATTAGATCAAGATGGCATTTTCGCAATCCATAAGGCGAGCACAAATACCCAAACCATGCGAACTGTGTGAAACTGACACAAACATTAAATGGAAATGTGTACAATGCAATAAATTAATGTGCGACAAATGTAAGAAAATTCATTTAAAAGTTCTGACACATGACATTGTTGATGTCAAAAGTTCAGAAGCGAAACAAAAAAGTGAACACACCATTATTACTGACAATATTCCCTGTCAGATTCACAAGAGGAAGTTGAATTGCATGTTTTGCAGAACATGCAACCAATTAGTTTGTACAGAGTGTATAACTGCTTCCCATAAAAAACATGACCTGGATTCAGTTGATACAGTGTACAATGAAAAAAAGGAAACACTAAAAGAACTAGAATCTAAATTTTCTGACACATTTACCCTTTGTAAAATTGAAAACAGTAAAGTAAATGATTTTAAAACCAAATATGAACAATTTTTCGCTGAATCTGTTCAGAAAATTAATCAACAAGAAAAATTGATCATAGATGAAGTCAGAAAATATGCTCAAGCACTTAGAGAACAACTGGAATCTGAAAAGCAAAGAATAGAAAAATCTATCACAGAAAAAGAGAAGAATATTGCAGAAGTGAAAGAAAATTTACTTAATAAGCAAAGCAATTTACAAGAAATATTAGATTCAAATCAAGCAGCTAAAGTGTTCAGTACTTATCCAGAATTCAGTGAAAAAGAAATTCCAAATGCATCTTTTAAGGCCTTTCCTGAGGAAACAAAAGATTTCTTTCCTACAAAGGAAAATTTGAAGACCATTTCTAACTTATTTGGATCATTTCAAAAAACTAAGCTACCAAAGGGATTGCCAAAAGTGAACTTAGATGTAATTAACAGTTATACTACAGATTTGAACGTGGTGAATAGAGTGTTAATACAGGATAACAAGACAGCTTGGATTTCTGATATTCTTAAATCTACTCTGCATAAAATTAACATTGATGACACAATCAAAATTGTTAAAGATATTTCAGTTCAGATTGATGACATGTCACTGACAGACAATAATGATGTTCTCCTGTCTTTGTTTGGCAGTTCTGATGTCAGTCTGTTAACAACAAAGACAGGAGAAATCAAACCTTTCCTGTCTGTGTCACCACTGATAACACAAGGTATACATGTCACTAAACATAATGAGATTATACTGTGTGTTGTGGAGAAGGGTGGTACTTACAACCTAACAGACAAAAGTTGTAGGAAAGTTATAATCTTTGGGATGAATGGGAAACAAAAACAATCATATGAGTATGATAAACATAAACAGAGATTATTCACTGCCCCTATTAGAATTACATCTAATGTTAACAATGACATACTGGTTATAGATAGTACATCCATTGATGATTGGAGGGTGGTGGTTATAGACAGGGAGGGACAGGTTAAGTGGACCTATCAGGGACATCCTCAGGTTAATTCAGGGGGTAAACTATTTAATCTAAGAGATATAGTGACAACATCAGTAGGTCATGTTATAGTGACTGATTGTAACAACCATGCTTTACATGTCTTGTCAAGGGATGGAGATCTACTGACATGTAAAGTTATGAAGGATCAGGGGATTATATATCCATACTCACTGGATATTGATACCAAGGGACAGTTATGGGTGGGATGTCATTCTGGGGGTGAACAAAGAACAGATGCCAAACTACATGTAATGAAGATGTCTTTTTAATTCAATATGAATTTAAAAATCATCAATAAATATTTTAATTACTTACTTAATTAGCACTTATAAATTACCTAAATATTAAGAACTTAAAATTATTTACTGAAAGATAAGGAAATGAATGAATGAAAGGAGAAGTGAGGAAGTAACTAAGTTGTTCAATTATCCTTTATTGGGATGGAGATCTTGTGACATGTTAAGTTAAGAATGATCAGGCGATGAAAAATTAACATTGAAGACAGTTAATTGACAGTTATGGGTATAATGGGATTTTGTTAGTTATGATAAAATGATGCAAGACTTTATGTCATTCATCAGGTTCATCTAGTGTCTTTTTAATCAGCATTAAATAAATTAAAAACTTTAAGAATTATTTTCAATTCCTGACTTTTGTTACTTTTTATATAAATGTATGTAGGTAAATAAAGGAATTTATGAATATTCATGTTCATATGAATGAATTAGATGTGGAAAAATCATTAATTAGACAGCAACCAACAATAAAAGCATACCAAAAAGGGTATAACATGTCATAATATTTATAATCCTGTGAATACCCTTCACTTTGGGGTTTTATCAACATATTCAAGTCTAATAAAACACAACTCTTACTTGGATAACTATTTACTTCGATATGTCAATGTGACAATTCTTTCATGAATTCAACAAAGCTTACATCAGCGCCCTATGTCTTTTCTTAAGGCAAACAAGTCAAAATTTTACAATGTCAACTGATACTACTCGACCTACAAATTTATTGAATTAACATTTTAAATACTATTCAAGATGCTCAAGTTACCATCTAGAAACACTTTTTCAAAATTGTTCTCTTTTTTAGTAAGAGTGACCTTGACCTTTGATCTATTGATCCCAAAATTGATAAGCTTCTATCCTTTTGTATATGCAAGATGACTAGAATGGTAAAATATAAGGACTTACATTTGTTGATTTAGATAAAAGTATAGAAGCATTTTTATACATAAATAAATATTAACATGATTAAGGGATATTGTGGTTAAATTCATGATTTAAAATCCAAACATCATTTTATAAAACACAATGCAAAAGCTGCTGTTCTACTTATTGATAAATATGAGTTTATGTTACTGAATACATATATGCATGAAGGATAGTCAGTGAATATTTCATATAAATATATTCAATTTATTGTATATATAGACATATTTGTCTCTCATTGAAAACCATTTGTTGACAATGGTACATGGACGGAAAGTCACAAAACTGATAGGACAAAAAATCACAGTTAACAAATCTACTTTCGTTTGAATATGAAAGTAATTAACTATTATTTAAATATGAAAAGAAAATTATTAAAATTGTATCTTTTTTCAGAATTTTTTTTTTTACACTGGAAAATTGTTCATAATCATTATTAAATGAATTATTATAAATTTCTAATCAAACAAAGCCTGAAAGGACACATGTATATGTAACTTGATGCAGGCACTTTCATGAATTAAACAAGACACTTGTACAACTTGTTTTCTTATCATTAATTTCATCATTATCAAACATTTAACATTATTTGTTTACAAAGTTGTATCATGTATAATTATTCAGGATAAAAACAAAAACTATTTTTGAAAATAGGTCTTTTAGTTATCATTGTTTATAAAAAAAAAAAAATCTGAAGACTGAATTGTGACGTTTTGTCCTGTGACTTTTATAAGAACTGCTTTTTATCTGTGATCTTTGTCCTGTACCTTTCTGTCCTATATTGTTGACAACTAGATGTCTTTTGGATTTAAGGATGTTCTTAGGTGAAATTAAAAAAATCTAGAAGTTAAAATTGATACTATAGTTTGGAAGAGCATAACTTAAGGAACAAAAAAAGCTAAAAATATTGATAGGTTCTGGAGCTCCTTTTTGAGATATTTGAGTTTTAAAAAATGGCGGGAAAAGGCTGACTCGGACTTTTACCTTGTATTTGCATTGGTATTATTTGGGTCTCAAATCGAAAGAAAAGAAATCTAGAATCTGCTTAAATTTTGGTAAATGACCTTTTATAAGCTATTGAAGTCTTATGTGAAAAGAAAAATGGGTGTTATGGGGCAAAATATTTTACCCTGTATCGTAGGAAAAAAACCAAGGAATCCGAACATCTGACAAAAATTCCTAAACCTGACCTAAGAACATCCTTAAGTATTATTTGGGTTACTGTCTCTTTGATGTAAGGACCACAGATACTTTTATTCAAAGTATTATTATCCATCGTATATACATTTTTGTGTATTCAGTCTTTAATGATTTCAGTTCAAATGCAACATATAAACCATTATAATACCTACCATGACTGGTGGATTTGAGGTGAACTTCTCATAAACTGTAACCTTAGCAATACATTTTGGAAAATACAAAGTTTTAGGCTGTATACACAAGTATTCATATGCTGATAATGTTTTGATAGTATCCACTTCTACAGTACAGTTTAACAGCATGTCCGCAAACCATTCAATCTGTAGGACATTGTGGACCAGAATGTAGGTCATACAATTTTCTTTCGTCCTCAATGTCACAACTACAATGAAAAATTCAATTTAGTGAAATAAGATGTCTATAAATACATATTGTATATAATTATTGTAACTAAAACATTTCATGTATTTTGTATATTTCTTCAATAAAATTCCAGTGGTTTAATAACAATTGTCATGCCATCCAATTTTTTTGTTAAGCTATAAGTACATGAAATCTGTACTATAATTGATCATGTGTTTTGTGCACTGAAAGATCACAATGCCAGTGCATGACAGATGCCACATGTGGAGTAGGATCTGCTTACCCTTCTGGAGCACCTGAAATCACCCTGGTTTTTGGCGGGGTTCGTGCTGCTCAGTCTTTAGTTTTCTACGATGTGTTTTGTGTAATGTTGTTTGTCTTTTGAATGTTTTTTGTGTTTTGCCGTGGCATTGTCAGTTTGTTTTCAACTTATGAGTTTGAATATTCTTGTGGTATCTTTTGCCTCTCTTTTGTAACATAACTTTGGTGTCAGACCATCATATTTCCCAAATAATACCTTTGTGATGTGTAATACAATTTTCACAAAGTTACCTTTGTGATGTGTAATATAATTTTCACAAAGCTACCTTTGTGATGTGTAATATAATTTTCCCAATGTTACCTTTGTGATGTGTAATATAATTTTCCCAATGTTACCTTTGGGATATACAATATAATTTTCCCAATGTTACCTTTGAGATATATAATATAATTTTCCCAATGTTACCTTTGGGATGTGTAATATAATTTTCCCAATGTTACCTTTGGGATCTGTAATATAATTTTCCCAATGTTACCTTTGGGATACCGGTATGTAATATAAATTTCACAATGTTACCTTTGTGATGTGTAATATAATTTTCACAATGTTACCTTTGTGATGTACATGTGTAATATAATTCTCACAATGTTACCTTTGGGATATGTAATATAATTTTCCCAATGTTACCTTTGGGGTATGTAATATAATCTTCACAAAGTTATCGTTGGGATGTGAAATATTTGGCCCCATCCCCTCAGTCATGGTCTATTGACTTTTGAAATTTTTTCATAGTTTACATGATTAGGTCAGTTTAAGGGAAAACATTGATGCTAAGTCTATGATATTTGGTATGCAATTTTATAAGTATTGGCATATCTTATTTCCATGGAGATTATTTGGTCCCCACCCCTCAGTCATGTTCTATTGACTTTGAATTTTTTTCATAGTTTACATGTCAAAGTTTGTGATTAGGTCAGTTTAAGGGAAAACATTGATGCTAAGTCTATGATATTTGGTATGCAATTTTATAAGTATTGGCATATCTTATTTCCATGGAGATTATTTGGTCCCCGCCCCTCATTCATGGTCTATTGACTTTGAAATTTTTTCATAGTTTACATGTTAAAGTTTGTGATTAGGTCAGTTTAAGGGGAACCGCTTATGATAAGTCTATGATATTTGGTATGCAGTTGTATAAGTTCATGTATTGGCACATCTCATTTCCATGGAGATTAAGAGAAGTTGGCCAGGAACTTGGCCCTTTCCCCTAAGTCATGGTCTAATAACTTTGAAATTTTTGACAAGTTTAACATGTTAACATAGTAAAGTTTTTGATTAGGTCAGGTTAAGGGGAACTACTTGGAGAAATGCAATTGTATTAGCATTGGCATATCTAATTTTCAGGGAAATTATTAGTCCCTGAATCTTAAGTCATGGTTCAATGGCTTTGAATATTTTGCATATTTTACATGTTAAAGTATTGCTGTTTGAAATTCAACATTTGAATTTTACTATCAAATTACAAAGAGGGGAGACACATCTCTGTTTCAACAGTTTATTCTTTAATAACATTTTGTACTTCTGCTGAATGAAATGGCTGAACCTTACCTGGTACCCCACAAGTAAGTGCAGTAGCTCAACTTTACATGGTACCATACATGTCAGTTAGATAGATAGATGAACCTTACCTGGTACCCTACAAGCTGACAGTGCAAGAAAGGACAGTAAGGTGAAAATTGTTCCTAAATATTCTGTCATTGCTTCTAAATCACATATCCACATCTGTTCTCAATATGTCAACACAATATTTCCTATTAAATAAAAAAAAAACATTTGCAGATGTCATGTCATTAAATAATGTGTAATACGAAACATGGCTGTATTTTTACATATTTATATTTAGACTTGTTTATATATATATATATCACACAATAAAACCAATTTTATTATATTGTAGTGAAATCTGGGGTACCTTTAAGATTAACTCTGCTGCTTGCAAGAAAAAAAGTGATTATCTATTTGAATTAATTTACATAAATGATTATTTGGAAAAATCACATTTCAGGTATCTAAAATATATTCTTGGTGTAAATAAAAAAGCCTCAAATTTGGCAGTGTTATCAGAGGTTGCAAGATTTCCTCTTTATTTTTCTGTCATTATATCTATGGTAAAATATGTACACAGGCTTAACAAATTGGACGATGGGTTACTTTATGATGCTTATATTTTTAATAAAATTTTAGATGCAGGAAACATTAATTGTTGGTATTCATCTATGAGATATGTCCTTCAATCACTTGATATACAAAATTTGAATACAAAGCTCAATAAATTAATTAAATTTGTAAAATGTAAACCTTGTAACAGTTTAAAACATTTTGGGTGGTCAAAAGATCTGATACCTTATCACAAGGTAATAGTAAATTAGAAAATTATTTCAACCTCAAGACTGACTTCGTAAAGGAGGCTTATTTATCAATTAAAGATTTTAATATAAGAAGAGCTATATGTAAATTGAGAATAAGTGCTCATGATCTTAAAATTGAAAAAGATAGATATAGTAAAAAATACATAGAGAAGTCAGCGTCTATGTCATCACTGCCTATCACATGGATCAAATTCTATTGAAGATGAGACCCATTTCACAGTAAGTTGTCCTTTATATAATGAA